CACTGCATTTTTTACAAGTCATTGATTTATATTCTAATGCACAAAATACGTAAATAAGAACAATTTAAATAATAATAAAAATATATTTACCAAGCAACAGCAACTAAACAAGAAACAAAATTAACATTACGTATTTACAACAATTGTTCAAAATGCGAATCACCCACATCGATACATTCTGACATCTTCTATTATGGAATTAATTGAAGCTAATATCTTTTAATTCATTACACCCTATTCTTCTATTCGTTGCAGTAGTTGTAGTCTTGTATCTGTTGAAGTAGAATAAACTTTACTTTTCAGATAACTCCAAACATAGAAGTTCATTGGGTTTAGATATGGCAATTTGGCTGGCCAAGACATTGGACCCTCTGCACCATTATGACATTGGCATTCGATCTTCTACCTATCCATCGCCCCATATAATTTTCATTAAGCCATTCTTATATTATTCTCCCATAATGCGCAGGAGCATAATCCATCGTATCCAGCTATTTTGTCATATATTTAATGCAATATCCTCTAATAATTCAAATAGATGGTTTTCTAGAAAGTTTAGAAATGATTGGGAATTTAGACGGGATGATAAGAAGAAAGGTCCACAAACTTTATTGCGAATTATTCCGAGCCACATGTTCACAGAAAATTCATGTTGAAAAGATCTTGTCCGAATTTCATGAGGATTTTCTTGACCAAATATGCAGATTGTGAAAATTCACTATCCCTCGCCTTTGGTAAATGTACATTTATTATTATTTTGATTTAAGTTGTTCTTATTTGTAAAGATAGTGGGTTAGGCTTCCAGGGGAAACTAAAACGCGTACCTCACTGGTGGTGTGGAAATGAGTGTAAAGAATTTTGTTGGTGTGCTTACAAATTCCACTTATTTTTAAGCATAAAGATAAATATAATTGTAATATTATGGTTTCAAGTCTCTGCCACAAGGGGATTGTATTGGTATGAATAACTTGAAAATGGCGAATCTTGGGGAAAATATTCAAGTTACCTTTTTTACGTATTTTGTGCTTAAAATATAAATCCGTTACAATAACTTGTAAAAGCCTGCCCAGTTGTACACCACTGGTTGTATCTTTAGAGCTTTATTTTTTTTTATTTTAGAGAATGTAAGGCCTACTGTCATCGATTATCTGTACCAAATTTTATTGAGATTGGGTAATAGATTCCGGAGATATAAACAAAAAAAATCTATTTTATTTAACAACTTCAACACCCTGTATCTCTAAAACGGCAAACACATATTATTTTAAAGAGATTTATCTGCCTTCGAAGTTTCCTGCATAAAATTCGGACCACCCTGTATACCTTTCTTCTTAGAAATATAATTCAATAATTAATTAAGTTACCAGTCCAACTTTGTTTAATTTATATGAAACATATACAGAAATATTTGAAAAAAACATCTTTTTTTTCATTTCAACACCCTATATTTCGGAAATCAGTAATTTAAGACCTCTGGTTCATTAAAAGTTTGTGGCCTAAAATGATTCAAGAAACACATCCCTGAAGTTATAATATGAACTTAAACATCTTGTCATTGCTTTTTTATTTAAAAAAATGCATTCAACTTGTAAAATGAAAGATCCATCCAAGATTTTCTAATAAATTACCTGTGTAATGTCATCTGTATGTGATTCCCAATATCCACCCAATAATTCATGATTCCTTATATCCCAAAATAAAAGAAATGCATCTCCTTCAAATAATTTTGTTCCAGCTGTTAATAATCTTCCATTTGATATGTCAAAACAACTAAACGTTTTTATTTTGCCATTTTCATCACTGATATCTAAAACAATGTGAATGCTTTTGACACGAATTAAATTTAAGTTTAAAACTTAGTTTAATATTGACAGTACAATTTAAAAAATTATAATGCCCGTTTGCACCGTTTAGAATTTAAGCCAAGTTCAACTGAACTTGGTTTAATTTTAAAACTAGGTTTTAATAATCAGCTTTTGCACCACTTACTGCCGATTGTAGATTAAATTAAACTGGGCTTTAAGAATACTGTTTAGGGATTTTATTATGCTGCTGACTTATGTCCAATTATGTTCGGAAAAAAATATGTCAAAGTCAAATTCTCAAACCTAACGTAATAACCTAATTTACTTTATTGTGATAAAAGATTTAGTTAAACTTGTGTTGCACACTAACTATTTCTTCTGGGTTTGGTATTTTTATGTATCTCTGATAAAGCCGANATAGATTTGATAATACAACAATTTAAAATTTAATTTTTGTTCTATTTTTATGAGACGGACAAGCCTTTTTTCGAGTTTCTCTTTTAATTTTGCTAATTTTCCTGGTATATACCTAAATTATAAAATTTATATAAAATTAAAAATAATTTTAAATTGCACAACCAAACAGAAATTTTAGGAGAAGCGATGCGTCACTTGTGTCACCCGACGAGCCGCCACTGAATCTATCAAAACTATTTTAATTAAATTTTTCAAGTTAGAAACAATATTATTTCCAAATGTAACATTATAAACACTTTGTAAATCACTATTTATATCCGCGGTGGCTGCTTCATAATCCAAGGAATTAATAAATAATAAAGTTGAATATCATCAGCATACATATGAATAGAAGTAATAGAACAAATATTTAACAAATTGACAGGTTGACAGGTCCTAAAACAGAACCTTACAGAACACTATTTTAGAAGAGATTGTCTTAGGTTTAGATAATTTGTTTCACAACCTTACAACTTGCATAAGATTCTGTAAATGAAATTGAATAAGCAAACTGACTTTGTTCTGAAACCTGCATGACTTAAGAATGGAAAAGAGTACCTACTTGATAATTAATAGTATTAAAGGTTTAGCTAGAATCAAGTAATATCATTGCAGTTCATTTTCTTTCATCGGCTGCTTGAATAATATCATCAATGATACGCATTAAAGCTATTGTACAATTATATCCCGAAAGAAAACCAGACTAAATATAATTAGTTTCTAAAAATTTTAGGTATTTGATTTTCCATCAGTTTTTCAGCAACTTTAATTAAACAAGGTAAAATACTGATTAGTCTTAAATATATGTCTTTCTTGAGTCATTATTGGAATCAGAACCACATTTTTCCATTATTTAGGGAATTTAGAATCCATGAACATTAATTATGTGTACCAAATACTATAAAATAACATAATAACAACATAATTTAATTAAGTTTATATTTAAGGTACTAGGCATCAGATGATTTTTTTTAGGTTTATCAAAATTTTATCACCTATAGAGGTTAAATTAAAATTGAATGCATTTCCACATATTTTATTTTCATTATACAGAATTAAAAAGATATTTTGATGAATATTATCCAAGAAGAAAATATTGATTTTGTCAGGATCTGACAAATAATATGGAAGTGTAGATTTTTTTTATATGTAATTAAATTTTCTTAATTCGGCTCACAATAATTTAAAATCTTTAATTCTGGAAATGTAATCGAAATATGCTTACTTTTCTGCCAACAGGGCATAAATTATCACATTTCTAATTTGTTTATAAAAATCCATTTTGTTTGGCACTGAGATTTTTTGAGAGCAGCCATTGACCCATTAATAATATTGTTCGTCAACTCAAGCACAGACAAAAAATATTCTGGTTTTAAAAATTAATATTAATATCACCAAGACAATAGAATTCTTCACTGTGCTGCATAGAAATAGAAGTGACTCTTCCAGTTCATCCGTTAATATTTTACATTCAAGTTAGGAGGTTTATAATAACATCAAGTACAAAAACATTATTATTAATAGTCACAGATATCCAAAGTCATGCAATATTTTCATTAGTATTGATATTTTTATATTTATACACAAAAACCAAATTTATTTATAGGAGACAATTTCCTTGAAATAATGAATAATGTGGATAAATAGCTTTGAAAAATTCCTGTGAAAGAAACATTTCTTTATACTCCAGCACCATCTAATTTGCTTTGAAAGAAGTTTACATTTAACTCTTAGATAATGTCATCGAAGAATTCTCTTAACTATTTCACATACTAAGATTGTGGTATATGTGCACTTATGGTTGTTAAACAAAATATCTACACGTATTCATTTTTTATTATTTTTTTAACACGTTGACTGCGGTAGATACCTCGGGGGGTATGTACTAGTGCTGGCAACTGAAATCGGTTTTTTGGATAGTCGGTTAACTGGTTTTGGATAATTCGGATTTTTATGAAATCCGAAAACCGGTTATTCGATTCTTCAAATATCCGAAAACCGGTTATTCAAATCTTCAAATATCCGATTATTCAAATAACCGATTATTCGATGATCTACTACCTTTTTTTTTTTAGACATCGATTTGTCCGACAAATAGACAATTTCTCCGGGTCTGTCTTTGTAAAGCACCAATTTTCAGATATCCGGTTTTGGCGATTCAAGTAACGGGTTATTCGAATAACCGGTTTTAGCAACTATTCGACTGACCGGTTTTATCTGAAATCGGTATTTACGAAACCCGTTTAACCGGTTTCACTTTTTTCCAGCACTAGTATGTACTCATTATAAAAAATATGCAAATCTCAATAATCACATTTTTACTGTATCTTGTGGAAGTTGCAGAATCTGTAGTTTTTAGAAATAATCATTTTTCTATTATTTTCTTTTCAAAACTCTGCGAATAAAAACGATAGTATCCTAGGTATAGTTACAGATAAATGCAAGTTTATAGCAATAATTGTTATTTTTCATTTTATAGGGTCAAATGTAAAAAAAATCACATATCCCCAGGGATATGTACCGCACACAGAAGAAGTTTTGTTACATATCCCCGAAGATATGTATCGCAGTCACGGACAAAGTACATTGAGATTATCTCGCAGTCAACGTGTTAATAAGTAAAATATTTTATAAACTTCAGAAGACTATAAGATTTTAACCACTTATTTCATGTATTGGAACAAATTTGAAGAAGTATTATCTTATCTATATTTTTATTAATTCTAATTGCATACTCACATTTGAATTGTACCAACTACTTCTCACTCTTTGCTTATTGCAATAAAAACCATATGCAGGTTGCAGTTCTGCACACTTCATTTGTAGACTACGTAAACATTCCCCATCTCTGTAATTTGATCCAGCCAGTACTAATAAGTGGTTTGTAGCATTGTTAACTTTTGCTATATATGTAAATTCTTCACGTTTCTTCTGTCACCAACAAACAAATATATTATTTGAAATAATAAAAAAAATAGAAATAAAAGTTATGTGAAATATTTTACATTTTCTGTTGCCTATGTTTTCAAAACAAATTGACTAAGAATTACAAGTCTAACATGTGTTTTTTTATATATAATTGAATGCCATATATATATATATATTTAGATAGATATACTTAGATTTTTACGATTGTAGTAATACAAAGTTTGACAGGCATATTTTTAATAATAGGGGAGATAGAAATATTGCCAATGGTGTGTGCCACATGCATAATTTGTTATAGATCTACCTGACAAATAGTAATTACTTTATTCCAAAGATTAGCTTTTGAGATTCTTTCGGTTAGATCTTCCTTAACTACCTAATCATAATCGTAAGAAAGTTATATTCAAATATACAGGATATCCTATTTAAAAATGCCCATGTTAATCCTATATCACCATAACCCTATGCTCAATGTCAAAAAATAATGGAAAAAATAAATAAAAATGAAAAGTTTAAGGATTTTTTATTAACCAGATCCTAAGATCGCACATATTTAATTTGATTACATTTATAAGTATAGTCTGTCTATTTTGTAAGTCAGCCTCGCATATTATATATTCTGTACTATCTTAGGATTCCATGTAATTAAGCAACTTTGCCTGTGTGGAATTAAATAAATAAATAAATAAATATTTGAAAATTAAGTTCTTCAATATTACACATCGAAAGCATGTGATTTTTATTTTCATAGATGCCAATTTTTTCCAGTTTCCCTGGTGTTAAGGCTATCCCCGTCTCAGGGGTAGTTTGGAAATGCATTAATCGCTACTTCTCTTTTTTCCTCAAGATGAATGTAAAATTAATATGGTAAATATATAAATTATAATTACCTTAAGTTTTTTGGCAATATCTCCACGAGTAAAATGTTTATATTGCTCAACACCATCTACGTTCCATAACTGTAAATCTGAACAATGAGTAATGCAACTAATGTTGCTTTTTCCGTTTTCATTAAACCATAACAATTGATCTACAGAAGACTGTGTATTTAACGAATCAGTAAGGGCTTCATCCTCGCATGTTTTTGATAAATCATATACATTTATTAAACCATCAGTTGATCCAGATATCAACTTATCTTTATCTTCTGGATGAAACTTAACCTAGAAAATAAGTTAATTAGTTAAGAAGTGTTAAAAGCTATTTTTATTAATTGGGTACTTCTACCACACTGAAAAGAAAAATTTTTCAGTGAAGCACAAATACCCATTTAAATAAATCTGGTAATAAAAAGTGTTATGGCGGTTTTCCACTAAACGGACAGTTGAGTTTATGTTCTGTTTGTGTTTTCTAGAACAAAACAAAAACAAAACTGAAACAAACCCAAAACTCTTGTTTCCATCAAGCGGGCTACATTTTGTTCGAGTTTTGTTTTTTGTTTTCAGTCCTTTTCCACTGGTTGTCGCGAGGAAGTCAGAACACATTTTTCCAATAACTAGCCAACATGTTTAGAGAAGATTTTTTTATTCTTAGTTATTATAGGCTGGTTTATACGGAAGTCCTTGGAAAAAAGTGTGTTTACAGAGTGTCCCACCTTGAACTCCATCGATGGATATCTGGGAAACCGCTCTAAGGATTTTTCTGAAATTGTGATGGTGTGATACGGACCGTGGGGCCCACCAAGTTAAAATATTTTCAAGGTCATCGTACTTCCGGTTATACCGGAAGTCGATACTAACTTTCTTATTTTAAATGGAACCCCCTGTATATAATTGCATTTTTGGAAACATCATCCATTTTTAAGTTGAAACAATATATAGCACACTCCATACTTAGGATTGACCGTTTCCAAAATATTTAGATTTTTAAACAAAAATTGACAGATGCAGACTGTCAGCAAAATTTAAGGCTTTTTTTCGCGAGTGAAGTCGTATGTTGTAGTATGTGTAGTATGAGTGAGTATTACGTTTTTGCGAGAATAGTCAGTCATTTAAACTACTATGTGACGTCACAAGTTTAGATCAAATGACTGAACTCTTCACCCTTCAGCTGAATATTCTGTTGGTATATTCAACTAGTATTGTCAGCCGGTAACTTAACCTTTTTCTTTTTGACATTTTGTTTGAATGAGGATAAAAATCGTTCAGCAAAATGATGGATTCTGATACGGCTGTGGAAGTGGTCAGTTTAAATTTAAACTTTAGAGGCACAGATGTTTTAGTAAACGTAGACGTTGAAACAGCAAATATTTTACTTAATGGTAAGATTAATTTTCTGTATGGGATATATTTGCGATCCACTTTGCTTCAGGATTATCCTCTTTTTTT